GTTTTTCATATGAAGAAATAGCTCTTTCAGTTGTATCAACCCTTAATTCTTTATATAAGTTATTCCTATGTAATATGAATTATTTTGAGGATTCACTCCTACAAGTTGTTCTAAAATCTTATATGACTGTACTTTTGTTTTTATTGTGGGATGAATAAAAAGAATAAATCACCTAATCAATAGGACTTCGGTTAAATGTCCTATAGGTTTAGTCTTTTAAAATCCTTGAAAGCAAAATATAGCAACAGTATATTTTTGCTATAATATATATATATATATATATATATATATATATATATATATATATATATATATATATATATATATATATATATATATATATATATATATATATATATATATATATATATATAACTTTATTTTATTATCGCTATATCGTGCAAGGCATTATTTGATCGTATAATAACTTGTAAAAAGCAGAGAGCACTTTTCACTTGGTACTTTTTAAATTAAAAAACTACATACCTAGAAAAAATGTTTTAATATTTTATTATAAATTAATCATACTTTGTATTAAATTTGTAATTTAACAATGTTATAGTAGTTTGTTTTTACTTAGTTTGTTGTGTCTATTTTTTAAATATGCAACGACATTTGAGCCGCTTTTTTAAAGGCTTTGCAAATAACTTATTTATTAAACAAATAGGGTAGGTGCTTTTTTTTGTATTTCACCTTCAACCCCTCTTCCCTCCGTCCATATTATGAAATTTATCGGATATGTATATACATATGTACCGATTTGTAAATTATTTTTTCAAACTTTTTAAATTTTTTTATTTTTATTATTTTTCAAACTTTTTAGTTTTGTCAAACTTAAAAATTATTTTTAAAACTTATTAATTTTTTCAAACTTTTTAATTTGTTCTTTTAAACTTTTTTTAATTTCACTCTTATATGTTATTAAAAGTTGTAAAATTTTATTTTATCTTTTTTATTTTCATGAAGGGGCTTGATGATAAGACATTTTGTCTTCTAACTGTCCCAGTCAGTTTGTAATTGTATAAATTTATTTGAATGTAAGGTTAACATTGTAAAATGTGTCACATCACGAAATAAATAAAATGATAATATATTGGTTCAGATCAAAACTATAAATCTCTTTATTCTGTTGCCCAAATAGTTTTATTTCTATCTCACAGTCGTATCCAGACCGTTTTTGAACGAGGCTTTACTAAAAACAAAATGCTTCTTGTTAAAGATCTCGACGACTCTTATTTCCCTACGATTAATACGCAAATATATAAAAACGAAAAAACTATAAACCTCACAGTTATCTAATGACAAATAATTTTTCATCTTTGTCAAATCTTCTCTTTAAAAATATATCACGTGTTAATTTAAAAGAAAATCGAGAAACAAGAATAAAAAAGAACAAAGTATTGCTTTTGAAACTCAAAAAATAGTTGCTTCTTTAAAAAAAAATGTTATCAACCTTAAAAAAGATGCTGATAAATTTGCATTCGAGGCAGAAAAAAAAACTTATATATCAATTTTATCCCAATGTAATGCCTTGAAAAGAACCACAGTGGTAAGTATCCTATATATTTTCTCCCATCTGCAAATATTTTTTAAAAAATAACCGATCGTCGTTAATCCAGATTATAAATTTAGCCAGGATATACATTTTAGCAACTTGTGTTAAACATTGTCCCGCATTTATATATCGTTAATTTTCCCGTCAAAAGCTCCCGCCAAAATAGAGAGAAAGTTTCAATGGGGATTGAAATAGACTCAGAAATTGAACAAAATTTTGATCGATTATAAAAGAAATTAGAATTGTAATGCTATTTAAAAGAAATTAGAATTGTAATGCTCTCCGAACTGATCAGAAGTTTTTACTAAAAGATATACTGCTGAAGATTTTGATGTTGATACTCCTGTTTAGTATCTTGTCAACAAAGAGTTTAAATACCTAAATGGTAAAACAAACCAGGTTATTTTTATAGCTTTTTTAACTTGTATATAGTTAATAAAAAATGTATATAGTTAATAAAAAAAAAAAAAAAAAAAAAAATGCGTTTGGAATAAGTTAAGTTATAACTAGATTGCATTTACTTTTTGCTTTGTATTTATATAAGGATTCAAAGAATATTATGCATGTAAACCTAAATTTACCTAAAAAAAAATTTTGCTACATATTTACATAAATAAAATATCAGCTACTTTATTTATGTAACACTGTCAAGAATGGGAAAAAATCAAGGTCAAAAATCGTAATGATACGTTGATATCAGAAAATGACAAGGCATGTAAAATAGTTGTGCATAGCTAGACTGTATCATTCGATTCCATTTCTGTCTTTCGTATATCTGTTTTCAATTTTTTGTTTAACGGATGAGTGTTTAGATTCTTTTCCTTGCATAGAAAGAATCACATAATCAAATTTCTTCCGCATGAAATAGAACAACATAGTTAACTTTCCAAACAGTACTGTTGCTGTAGAAAAAAAAAAGTGAAAAAAAAAAATCTCTAATATTCAGCGGCAACATTCTCAATACAATTTTTTTTAACATCTAGAATTTAAACCTACCATCTCTTGAGTTTCGACGCCTTCGATGCGATTTAATCCAAATTTTTAAATTAATACATCGTTTTGATATAGTTAATGATAAATATCTACCAAAATATATTAACTCCGTGTCTCGTGGTCACCATTCTAAAATAAGGCGTGAGTATGTTCTAAACTGTCTTCCAAGATATAATCATTTGTATAATAGATCAGCAAAATACTGGAACAATCTACCAGAGCAAATAACTTTGTACTCCACTGTACTTTCTTTCAAAAATAGACTAGACTCCTGGTTGTGGAAAAAGTTTGGAACAAATATTTATAAAACTGGTTGTTTATAGTGGGGTGTTTTCCCTGCTCGCTGTATGTGTACATTCTATGTAAATTTACGGCTACAACTATAATAATAATAAATATCTCTTTTTTTTTTTTTTTTTTTTTTAATATTTTGTCTAATATACTTTCTTTAAAGCATACAACAGGTAAAGTTGTCCTAAATAATAAATTTGGTTGATGGTTTATAAAAATGCCAGTACGCATGCTTAATTTAGAGCAAATTCTTTTCTTAATAAACAACCTATAGATTAATATGGATTATTTTAACCTAAATTAACCTATAGATTAATATGGATTTATTTAATTTTTAAATATTCTTCATCAGACTTAAACATATTTGACACTTATCGCTTGTTGATCTGCTGAAAAATAAGCATTAAAATCTATAACTTTTCTTTACGTTCAACCCTTTAAAAGTTTTGAGTAAATAGTTTAAGTATCAACATAAGAAAAAGAATTAAAATTTTTTAATAAGTATTTTATTTCAAACATAGGCGTGTAAAAATTATAAAAAAAAACACAATAAATTAAGTTAAAATTGAAAAACATTGAAATAAAATTTTTAACAAAGTACTTTTTTAAATATCAATTGTCTAAAACTACATTCTTTCAATTATTTTCGCCATCTTATATTCTCAGTTTGATCGTTTGTGATCAAGGAGGAAGGTCTAGAAACTGTTTGACTTCAATTTTTTTTTTAGAATTTCATACTTTTGTACCATATGGCTTCACATAAAAACAAGTGGAACCAAATAATGCTAATTTAGTTTCTTTATATAAAAGTGCTGCATTTTTTCAATTTAGAGAAATAACTATGTAACTGTTTAGAGACAACGTTCTTCAAGTTTTATTCTTCACAAAGTTCATTATTTGTACACGAAAATTAAAAAAATTAATTTAAAGTATCAAAAAAAGTTAATTTCCTTCTGGACAAAACAAGTGCAATTCCAGCTGTATTTCGTGGCGAATCCTTTGTTGTCGATCACAGCCTTGCATCTTTGAGGCATAGATTCGATCTGGTGATCAATGAAACTTTGTGGAATCGCTGCCCAGGCCTTTTGGATTTGTTTAAACAGTTGATCTTTATTACTAACACCTTCACGATTAATTCTGCGGTTGATGATCTCCCACAGGTTCTCGATAGGGTTGAGATCCGGAGATTGAGGCGGCCAATCCATCACCGATAGGTGATTTTGCAGTGTTTGGGATCGTTGTCTTGCTGAAAAACCCATTTTATTGGCATATTCCATTCAGCATGAGGTAACATAACATCTTTCAGGATATTTTTATACACGAAACGGTTCATTATTTCATCGATTCGATGTATTGGACCTAGACCGTTAGCAGAAAAATACCCTCAGACCATTACATTGCCTCCACCATGCTTCACGCTCTTATGGCAGTAACGTAAATCGAGGCGTTTTCTGGCCGGTCGACGTACACGGCAAATGCCATTGCTCCCAATGATGTTAAACTTCGATTCATCACTGAACATGAGAGTTCGCCATTTCTGCATATTCCAGTCAATATGTGATGAAGCAAACAGGAGTCTTTTCTTCTGGTTTTTTAGTGAAATCAGCGGTTTCTTTGCAGGGCGTCGAGAGAACAATCCATCTTCATCAGCACGTCGTCTGATTGTTAGTTCCGATACAGGCAGCTCTAATTGCTTTTGTATCTCGGCTGATGATATCCAGGGATCCTTCTTGACGGATCTGACGATCATAGAATCCTCTCTAGAAGTGGTGGAACGCGGTCATTCCACCTTTGTTATCTGCTACCAACTTCCCCGTAGAACGATATTTGGAACATAGTCTTGATACGGCATTGAGTCATGGCATGCTATGACTCCAGACTCCTGAACTGTTTGCTGTGGTAGTATAGTTCGTTTCGTTTTTAAGACATGTAAAATTAGGAACACTTTTTAGCATTGTTCGATGTTGGTTGCAAATGTTTTGTCCAATACTGTATATGTATACATACATACATACATATATTCATAATACACACATACATATATACATACATATATACATACATAAACAGACCCACATACAAATATTTATCGAGGCGAAGTTTTTTAAACATACACTCGTCTATGTGGTGTATTCATAAAATATGCAACAAAAAAATAATCTTTTATTCATAATTTATATTTTCAAATATAAACCAAAATACAGAAAATTCTTAATATCAGTTTAAATGTTATTTCCTTATTTACTCAATTCCTTTAAGAGCACGAGAAAGTTTTTTGACTTTTGTTGCAGTTGACATATCAATAAAGTAATCTCCCAAATTTATTACCATACCTCCAATAATAGAAGGATCGCTCTGAAAAATAAAATTAAAAAACATAATTTTTAAATTCTTAAAGCAATAATCTGAAGTTATTATTAAAAAAGTAACAAATTCTTATTATATTTAAAACTTACTAATGATTCTATTTTAAGCGTTTCAGTGGGTTTAATAAACTTCTTTAATGTCTCGCTTAGAGTTTTCATCGTAGCGGCATCCAATGGCTACAATGAGATAAATACAAATAAAGTTTAGATATTTATACACAATTAATATATGGTTAGGTAGAGCGCTTTGTAAGCAAGATGCACCGAATTTATGGTAGTACCGTACTTGCTTATCTGCAAATCGACACACAATACAGGGGTTTCAGTACATATGTATGTAATGAAGTCTCCGCAGTTAATATATCAAAATGACGTGATCAGTAACTTAATAATAATTCACATATTATATTATGGGTCATTCCACACATAAGTACCCTTTCCATATCACCGCACCTATATTTTTTCAAAAAAGGCACTTCTTTTTATGTATTAGAGTGAAATATTTTCTCAAAAAATCTAAAAAAAAGTTACCACATATTTTAATCTAAGAAAAGTTACCACATTATTTAATCATATTTTATCAAATCATTGCTTATATACTAGAGTATAACTAGTGAGCCTAGAGAAGGAGGGGCGGGGGCAACAAAAGTCAGAAGTGATTCCATCCACCCTTACCTCAGTCGGCCAGGGGATGCAACGAAAGTCGAAACTTTCATGTTTTTAAATTATTATTTTTCAATTTTATAAAACTTAATTAACTTGCATAAAAACTATAAAAAATTAAACTGCCTTGGGTACTGTTACCATGGAAACCAAATCAATAAAATGACTTTAAGAAAGGTTATATCTTTTGATCTTAAATGACAACCACAAAAAAAGGATTGATTTGAACGAGAGATTTTTCGTTCATGACAAAAGTTGTCATGGTAACACAAACAACTCTTTTTCATGATCGCTGGACATAGTCAAGTTAATTTCAAATGCTTCGCTCAAATCAATCTATTCGACCCTTAAAATATTCTGATAAAATTTCAACATGTTATGAAAAAGATATTTCAAGGTATCTTTTCTCAAAGATAAAAATGAAAAATGGTTGAATTCAGCTCACAAACTTTAAATAATGGTTTTGCATTTTTAAAAGAAATTCTAATTTTTTTAATGTTAAACTACAACAAACTTAATTTTTTTGATAAGGTTTGGTTAAATAACAGGTTTATAGTTTGATGCAAAACATTTTTAGAATTTAAATTTCGGACCATAATGTTCTACTACAATCTTGAAATTATGGTTACTAAAGGATTAAAGGTAAATAATTTCAATAGGGGCAAATTTATTTTAAAAAATGTAAAAAAATATATATAAAAGAATTTATTTTTCAAAAGTACCGAAATTTCTCTATAAAAATGAACAAAAATTGTTTTTTGATATTTATTTAAAATTTTTTTTAACGCCCACCTTAATGCTGATGTGCTAACATAATTAGTATAGTGATTAAGTAATAAACATCTCCTCATAGTGGCGTCTATTATTACTGACGTTTCGATGTTGATCAGCACTAATAGCTAGTTTATCCCGTCAGACAAACGTCATCGCCACTTATGATTACCCCAAGACATACGCTTATTATATACTGCAGTAAAAAAGGACTCACTACAAATAGCCAAAACCCAACCATCCCCAAATTTGTAAAGCACTAATATTTTTTTGATGATATGATATTAAGTGTAGATCTATTAAACAAAACAAAAATAAAAATAACTAAACAAATCACATACCACCGAAATAAAACATGAAAACACAATAAATTAAAATTCTAATAGAAATTTATTTTAAAAACATATAAAGCCAAATAGGTACTTATTAGCATAAATAGACCCAAGACAATTTTAAAAGTCAACAAAACAACAATAGTATTCAATAAACTCTAACGCTGTCATAGATACCTCATCCGAAATATGTTAACCAAAAGAAAATGAGCATGAGAATGACCATGAGAAATATGTTAACCAATCAAGTGTAAGAAAATGAGCAACCCACGCAACCAAAAATCATTACAATAATTAAATATCCTATGATAACGAAAAAAAAAAAAAAAAAGTCGCACAAAAACCATTAAAAATGTAACCCACATAAATGTGGGTTACATTTTGACAAAATATTATTAAGATTAAATTGCCAACTGTTAAACTTAAAAAAAATATTAATAAAAGGAAAGGCAAAAGTGGAACTGGTCATAAAATTTTTGAAATAAGTAATAAATAAATGACTCCAACTAAGGCTTTGGAGAATAACTGTAACTTAACGAAGACTTATATTTATGGAAAAAAAAGATAGCAATTAGCAAAAATAGGTTGTTGCTATAAAAAGTTTGGTATTTATAGCAACCAAATAAAAAAACTACTCAAACTTTTTGGATTATCCTCCTCAAGACAGAAGCCTCTACTGCAAGGTTACTATGTAAAACTGCTATTTAGAGAAAAAAGTTAACAACGGTACTATTGGGGAAATTTGTAATATATGTACAGAAATAAAATTTTTATTCATATTTTATCATATATTAGATTTGTATTTTTTACCTCTATCTTGAAGCACTATAATAATTAACTATAACATTAAAATACTTTAATATTATGAGTGGAAACATTGAGGAAAACCATTTCTCTATAATACATACAAGAAATAACAAAAAATCTGAGATCTGGAAAATTTTCAAAAACTTGTTTCCCTTTAACATGAAATGACCCAACATAAAATCACGAAAACTTTCCTAATAAAGTATATTTCATATAAACTCTTCTTGCTTACACTATTTTACCATTTAAAAAGTTCAAATAAAATAACAATTTATACAATATATCACATGGTCCATAATCATAAATATTTTTATTTTAACCATGAAACTCCTACATGCTATAACACACATATATATATATATATATATATATATATATATATATATATATATATATATATATATATATATATATATATATATATATATATATATATATAATTAAATATAATATAATAAAAAAAAATAGTAAATTAAATTAAATATAATAAAAAGAAATAAATTTAAAACTTTTATTTTGGGGTAATAATTTATTTTTATTTTTTATAACTTTTTTGTCAGTAAAATTAAACCTGTAGAAAAAGTATAAAAACATGTTAATTTTTTAAATGCAAAAAAAAAAAACCTTTGCAGTTACAATCTTGCAATCTACTTCCCCACGACGAGCTCTCATGATTTTAGTATAAGCATTAATAACACCATCAAGACGTTTCAATCGACTGTTTTCTGCAAGCAAACCTAGTTAAGTAAAAACACTCAATTATAAAAACAGTTTAAAGTCAATTTATTTTTTTAAAATACCATATATCAAAATATTGTTGTGTTTTTCAATAACAAAAAGCACTAATCAAATAAACAAAAAATCCAAAAACATAAAATGCTGATGGTGACTAAAACAAAAATTATGTAAAAATGAGATTTTAAGACGGAAAATGAATTCATAAAATATATATTTTATTACAAAAATGAAAAATTTGATGCGCTTAACTCGTTTCTCTGCACAGCAATTTTTATCAAGGTTGTGTTTAAGGTTAAAGATTTGAGAGAGGGTTGTAACCACAATAAAGTAGCCTCCTTGACTGTAGTAGCCCTTCCTGCGTTAGGGAGGTGCATAACATAAATAAAAAAATAAAAGATAAATAAAAACCATTACTTTTTTTTTAAATAAATTTTTATGCATTAGTTTAAATGGTTCTTTAAGCTATTCTTAACAATTTAATAATTTTTATAAATATCATATCCTCATTACACCTATCATAATCTTTATTATTAAATCTTTAAATAACTTTGTATAAATTTTTGGTTTTTTTTATTTGTTTTTGATTTATTTTTGGCTTTTTAAAATTTGTTGGTTCATCCATTCTCTAAGCAAGATCAAACTTTAAATCTGCAAATGTCTTTTTTCAATTCTTCATGTTGTTTTTTTTAATAAAACTAACGATAATAATAATTTAAAAAAATAATAACTTGACAGCTTGTTTTTTTTTTCTATTTACTATAGTGTTCTAAGAAGTACTTATGATTACAGAGCAATACAGAAGAGAATTTAAGTAGGAACCCTTTTTCCTTATCAATGGCCAGAACTGGCATTGAACCACAGACCTCTTAATTCTGAAGCAAGAAGCACTGCGCCACAGCTGCTGTTTAGCAACACTACTTTACCTAATTTCTCATAAGTATATTTCGGTAAAACAAATGGATATTTAGGTACAGCTTTTGTTAACCATGTCCTTGGATAGAAAAAAAAAATTGCAATGGAGGCAACTTTTGTATAAGGTTATAATGTAAAATATAAAAATGTAAGGTATACAATGTACAAAATGTAGTTTCTAAGAAATTCTTATAATTAATGTTCAATTTTTTATTATTTTTATTGTGCATCTAAAACAAATAGTAGAAACAGTTGCTATGGTATCCTAAGTACAAATATAACACAGTATACTAAAATGTAAATTAATACAAATTAATTGTTATGTTGCTATAAAATAAATAGACTAACCCATGAAATTGACAATAATATCTGAATATTTTTTGGACGTCATCACTTGAACAATAACATCTGAAATTTTAAAATAAAAGTCTAATTGCTTCTGAAAGAAGAATTATATAAAAGTAAATTAAACATTAAAAAAATACTTACAGTAGCAGTAGGTAATAATATCAATTAAAAAATAACTTTCAAAATAAAAATGTCATTTTGAACTGCTTAAAAATCCATTATATAGAGTTATATAGTTTAAGAAATCCATTTTCAGTTTTAGAAATCCATTTTCCTTGAATTTTTCCTTTTTTTATTAATTATTATTTCCTTTTTTTATTTTTCTATTAGAAACATAAAACAAAGATTTATTTAGATCATCTAGAAATTTCGAATTTGTAGAGGGCCCATCTACAGAAACTTAAAATATTTACTTGAATCAATTAAGTAATCAATTAGATAAGTTTTTGTTAAAATGAGTAAGAAAGTCAGACTCTGTAGAATGACCAAGAAAAGCTAATGTCCAATATCTTACTTTAACTTTGTAATTGACACCCCAATATTGAACAAGTAGGTCTATCTGACATGTTTGAGTTATGTCGTTTAAACTCTCTTCAAAAGATACAATGTAACCAACTGATTTTTTGATTTCTTCTTTTAAGAGTGTCTTAACTTGACTTAACGTATGGTGCGAGTCCATGGTTAATAATGTATGATACTTTTGAGGAACTCATGGTGAAATCTTCTGCTACCTTGTTGTCAGGAAACATCTTTTTAAAAGAGTTCTTTAAATTTGCACATTTGAACTATTAGAGTAGTAGAATTATTATGTAGATTTCAATGCTCATATGATCTCAGCGTTAGATGATAAAGTTCATTTAATTGAGGAACCAATAGCTGTTTGTTTTTTGGTGGAAAATGTCATATTCTTTTCTTTACATTTAAGTGGCTCAGCTTGCAACTTTTTTCATTAAGAAAGAAACAGCTAACAGACTTTGCAGCAAATTGATGCTTTTTACCTAAAAATCCTTAAAAATATGGTGTTGTAACCAATCTTCTTGAAAATAGGTCTTTTTTGAAGTCATATATTATTATATTTAATTAAAAATTTATCTAAACATATGCTTACTATATTTTATAAGTTTTAGAACCAGTGTAGTGAGCAACTTTACAATAAAAATTAAAACTTGTATATTGCAAAATAACTTCAAGTTATATAAAAACTAAAAAACACTCCCTTAGTTTTCCTGATTTTAAAGATTTTCAAAAAAAGTTCCCTGACTTTTCCAGGTATTCCCTGATTTTTCATAATTTAAAAACTTTTCCCTGAGTGCTGTGAACCCTGTATTTATATTATACAGAGTTGTTAAAGTTCATAACTGTTAAATCACAAATATACACCTGTTTCCTCAATAAATCAGAAAACATTTATAGCAATTTAATTCAATATAAACTTTTATGCTCAACTGTTTTTTTATCACAACCTAATTATTAGTAATAATTTAAAACATGATTAGAAAAAGTAAAACTCTTAAATTACTGCTGTCATGTTAAAACTGTGTTTACTGCAACTTTTACTATGTTCATACTGATTTCTAACTTCCCTAGTGTATTTTCATGTCATTTAAAAATTAATCATTTTTAAACCGTTGTTTATAATTTGTAACTGCAATTGTAAAAACTATATGTAAAACTTTTATCCAATAACTAGATTGGAATCATATGCAAAATATAGAAAAAGCAACCAGGCCGAAGATGTAATTATTTGAGAAATAATAGCCATCAAAATTAAGACATTAAATTAGCTACAAAGAGACAGCAGGTCTGGTGAACTTTTTATGAGGTAGATTTAACAGATGAAAAGTTTTTATCTGCTAAAGTTACTAACTTTAAGACCAAAAATAATTGTAAAGGATTGGAACAATTTGATGGATATGTTGTTTGTTTTTTTTAAATACTTTTGGGTACTTCATTCATCTTTTCAATCATTAGAGAACTTAAAAGTACCCTAAACAATAAGCTATGCAATCGCCTTAAAACAACTATGCCACCTTTAATCAGAATAAATCATGTTTAATAAAAAATATTTGAAACAGTATATCCTATATGTATATCATGGAATTTATACTCAACTGAACGTAGTTCTTAAACTAATAAACACTGAGAACTTTTTATAGCAAAGCAGTATTTTAGCTTTTATGTTACCTGTTTTGAAAACTTTTACAGAAACGAGTTACTAAACAGTTTTTATGGACATTTTAAGTTTAATAATACTGGTTAAATAAAATAAAGAAAGAAACCCAGAGAATCATAATACCTTGTTTTTCATACTTATTGATAGAAGGATCTTTGCAATATTCTGTAAGTTTTGTTTCTTTTTTAAACATGTCCTGAAAAATATTTTACATGATTAAAAATAATCTTCAAATAACTTTAAAAAAAAAACTTTGCCATGAGCTTACACAAGTAAAAAAAAAATCTAACAATCTTATGAGTTTCTACGGTGATTTATCAAATACTGAAAGTTAACTAATTAACAGCAAAAGTTTTTTATTTAACATTATCTTAATACCCTGAGTTTAAGGAGCTCAGCTTCAACTTTATCTAATGAACTTTTTTGACTAGCTGCTCCAAATAAAGCATGAGCATATCTTCCTTCTACACCAAAAACTTGAATAGGAGCCTGTACAACAATTAAAACATACAAAAGCATTTTTAGCGACTTAAAGATTATACAATGATATCATTAAAAAAAAAGTTTTGAACAAAAACAATACAAAAAAGTATTAATTTAAACCTTTTATAACATCGACTACCTTTTAATTTTTTAACTAATTTAAAAATTAACACCTTTTAAATTACAATTTTAATTTTTTATGTCATCATAAAAATATCTTACAAATCATCGTTAAAAAAAATTATACGACATTTAAATATATACACAATTCTTAAATATATACACAATATTTAAATATATACACAATATTTAAATATACACACAATATTTAAATATATACACAATATTTAAATATATACACAATATTTAAATATATACACGATATTTAAATATAAACACGATATTTAAATATAAACACGATATTTAAATATAAACACGATATTTAAATATAAACACGATATTTAAATATAATCAAGATATTTAAAAATAGGGTTCGTACAAAAACCAACTTTTTAAAAAACTAGTTTGGGAATTTTAAATTCCCAAAAAAATCGGTTTTAACATTTTTCAATTATTTAAAATAAAAAGTTTAAATAATTAAAAAATTATATTTAATTCACTTATATCAATTTTTCCTAAGGAAATAGAACTTAAAAAAACATAATATGTCCACTGAAGGATGGCCAGGCCTGGTTCTAATTTTAGACATAAAAGTGTCTGCAATTGAAAATAGGTGTTCACTAGGTACTGAACTCAGTTTCATAGTTTTAAGTGCACCAAATAAAAAATCCAAGTTTTAGATTCTTTAACGCATTGCCTCAAATAATAAAAACTCAGCTTTCAGTGTCTTTGGGTTAGTGGGCTTTTCTGCAGGATCTACCAGAAACTTATTAATTAAATTTTCAATGACCTCTTTTAAAATTGCTAACTTTCAATTTAAAATTGAAATTTCTTTTAAAATTGCTTTACTCTAATGAGTAGTTTCTTCGATCATGATCTGAATTGGTGTTCCTAATAGAATTTTGAAATACTGTAGACAATAACTTTTCAGACAATTTAATATCAACTTTTGAAGCTAAAGAAAGTAGGTAGAAGGGATTTTTGTGCTAGACCGGAAATATTTTCAGAATTTTGCAAATACATATACCCTAACCCTGACGGAGTTAATTCATAATTTGATACAAAAACATACTAAATTATTAATTTATAAATACATAAACATATAATCTTACAAATTTTACATATAAATACTTTTTATAAATACATATAAATGAATATTAATTCATATTATTTGAGAAGAATTTCTTTTTCGAGAAGCCATTTGGGCAAAACTTTTCCTTAAACTTTTTGTACATCCGGGTGTTTTTAGACAAGCAACTGTTTCTATTGGGTAATTATTACATAACATTTTGCAGAAATTGAAATCCACATCAACCGTAGAGAATTGTTTCTATTAGGTAACAACTGTTTTTATTGGGTAACAACTGTTATTTTTAATTGTTTTTATTAGATAACAACTGTTTTTATTGGATAATTATTACATAAGATTTTGCAGAAATCGAAATCCACATCTACCGTAGAGAAAAAGCTCAAGTTATGTGTTAAAAAAACAAAGGAAACAGCTTACTTAACTAACTTTAAAAAATGTTATTGTATAACAACAATATATTATAAAAATGTTAAAAAATAGAAAACTGGTTTTTGTAATTTAAAAATTGGTTTTTAAATATGCCAAATTTATTTTTGAAATTTTTTTTATGAAAAACTGCCAAACCCTAATACACGATGTTTAAATATATAAGCTATATTTAAATATATACACTATATTTAAATATATACACTATATTTAAATATACACACTATATTTAAATATATATACTCTATATTAAAATATGTACACTATATTTAAATATATACACTATATTAAAATATGTACACTATATTTAAATATATACACTATATTTAAATATACACACTATATTTAAATATATACACTATATTAAAATATGTACACTATATTTAAATATATACACTATATTTAAATATATTTAAATCTTAAAAATTAAAATTTTAATTAAATATTAAATTACATTTCAATCAATTCATTGATAATTTTTTAATAAAACATTCATAATAATAAATAAAACATAATGCTATATATCTTTATATTATATAATTATAACTCTTGAATTTTATTGTTTCATAATTAAATTATTATTATTATTATATAATAATATGTATATAATAATATCAGGGCTCGAATTAAGCGTATCGCGAATCGAGATGGCTTTTTACACCTTCTTAAAACATATATTTTCGAGATTGGTTTACTTTTTTAGTTGTTTATTTACTATTTTTCTAATTGAGCTTTTTTTTTTTGGCAATTCTAAAAAGTAATGTTTTCATAGTAAAGTACGTCACGCAAAGTTTGTCTTTTGAATAGAAGCATGCTCTTTTGCGCGGAGATTTTTATTCAACGTAAAGCACTTTTTAATTTAAATTACTTTAAATCTCTGCGTAGAAACAAATTAAAATGACAAAAGTTAAAAAGAATTTTTTCTTCATTCTATTTTTATTAACAAAACAGCATTTTTATCTTTTTTTAAAAGAAACGTTGCTCCAAATAAACTTATTCATAATGATTTAAATTATTATTTTATAAACAATTTTATATAATTATTTTTACTACTTTAAGTATAATAAAATATATATAAATTCGTTTTTATTAAATAAAATTTATATTAGTAAAATGTGCTAATAGAAACCAGCAACTTTTTTGCTTTCACGTTTTTCGCTTTAACGACCTTGAAACTATTGAAGTTATATTTAGTTAACTTTACTGAATAGATAGAGTGTATCACAGTAAATTAACTTATAACCTAAATCAAAACAACCAGTTAAGTTAAGATAGTAACTTACAGTTACTTAAGTATTAATTTAACAATTATATTAATTTATTTAATATACTCGCAAAAGTTAGCCATAGACATGTTTTAATTTAGATTTTCCATGTTGTTAACAAATATAAGCTTTTAACTAATAATTATTTTAATAAAAATTGTCGAATAGAATATGAAAAACGCGACACCATTTTTTTATATTTTCATTTTATTTATAGTAACATCGAGACTAAACATTTTCTATAAATACGCAAGTTGTTTTCAGGAATTCTATTTAAAAAGAAATCAATTTGAACAAGAGAACTTAAAATTTTCTAATTCAAATAGTTTTGTGATTAAAATTTGAAATTAAAAAAAAAAAATTTAATTTAAAAAAAGTGTGATGAAACAAGGGAGAATGAAGAAGAAAGTTTTTTTTTCTTAAATCGTAAATTTTGTTAATGTTTTGAATTATATATTTTTTCTTGAAAATAGTTTTAAAAGTAGTAACATTCTATTGTAAACACCCAAGCAGTGAATGCAAATTGCAAGTTAAAATAAAAATTATAAAAAATTTAAATTAAATTTAAATTTAATAAATTATTTTACTTCTTATACTTAATATAACTCGATTTATTAAACAAAATTTTTTGTTTCACTTTGTTTTGGAAAACAATTAGAATAAAAATAAATTGAATGAAAACATCAGTTTAAAAACTATTTGAATGAAAAACTTAATTATACTTAAATTTTGAATAGCACGCTTGATCAGGAAACGATAATTTATAAAAAACGTGGTATCAAATGTTTTTTTGCTTTGATCTTATTCGTTTGGTCTATAGATTATAAACTCGTACAGGTCTATAGATGCAAATATGATGTTTTGTTTTAGTTTATCAACTAGATCAATTTTATTTACTTCCTTTTATTTTTATTTTTAATTGCTTACTTTTATTTTAAACGCTTTTTATTTTATAAACTGTATAAATCAACACGAAACAATGTCATGTTTTACATTAACCCAAGCTCTTTATATTTTAAAAACAAATTTGCAGTTTGTTTTAATGTTGTTTTATAGCTTTTAACTATTAAAGATTTTTTAAAATTAACACATGTTTCAACGTCAGCATGAACGTATTAAATAGTTTTCTTTGACTAATTAAATTGGTTTAGATAATGTAATGTTGCTTTTTCTCTTACTTTTTTACTTTTACTTTTTTAAGTATCATTTTAAGTGAAAATATACTCAAAGAAAAATCTTAAGAGTATTATTGCTTACTACAACTGCAACTTAAACTTTAACTTAAGTTGTAAATAATAACAGTAAATTACGCTATTTTAAACTCTGCCAAAGAAGAAAATTTTTAGATTATATTTAAATATGAGAGATAATATGTTAAAAATAGAACAACTACGCACAAAAGTTACAATTATATACTAACACAACTTCCCTCCCCCCATTACCGCAAAGCGGCACAAGGTATAAGGAGGGGGGGGGGGTAAAAAGTTCTTTTTTTTTCACAATTAGATTTTGGGTTTACAAAAAGTCTCATTTTTAGCCAGGGCTGAGGCCGGGGCTCCGGTCATTTATTATTTGTAAGTGGGTTTTTTAACTTTGAATCTGTCCCAGATAACTTTTGGTGCAGTGCTAGTTTACCAATAAGTCACTATGTATTTATGGATGTTCATTTTCTGCTTCCTCTGCAATGGTGCTCAGTTGCAACCTCTGCAAGTCTCACCCTTAATAATTCACTATGTATTTATGGAAGTTCATTTAAGTTCATTATAATTATGGAAGTTCGATTAAGTTCGTTTTATGCAACCTCTGCCACAGTGCTCAGTTGCCTGTAAGTTCCAGTGTGTTTATTTGACTGTTAGTTTTGTCAACTTAATTATTAAAAAATTTCACTGTGAACAAAATTTTTATTTTAAATTGTTACACTTTGTTAACTTAAAAAAAAACAGTTTTTTTTTTTAATTTTCTATTTTTGTAAACAGGCAATAAAAGAAATATTTGTTTAAAAGCACTTCACTAACACACAAAAAAAAAAGATTAAAGTTTACTTACTATTAGAATTAATTCTTTGAAATTTATTTTTATACGGACATACAATGAAACATAAATATATAATGAAAGATATACTTGGATGTTCTTAAAGCATCTGACAAGCCATGATCATGTTGTTGGAACAAAATATTATAAGTATGGTCAGGCACAGCATGCAATCGCACACCATTCCTGACTAAGTCTGCTTAAACTAATTTAGAATATAAAGCTTTACAAAATTATTACATCGAAACAAATTATTTCAACCTAATTAACTAAAACATATAAAAAGTACCTTCTCTAGCCGGGCGTATGTTGTGCTAAATGATCGAATCTAAAATTAATTAAAATATGACTAAAATATAAAATATGATTTTTAAATAGTATCTAATATAGTAATACTAATAGCAATAATATTATGTTTTAATAAATTATATAAAATTATATCTTAAATGAGAGTGTTGTCAGTCCAGATCTTGGGCTTCCTAAAATAATTGTATTCCTGAGGGTCACCGTTTATATAGAACTTAATTCTAATTAGTTTTAACAGGACTAACATTTTAACCTGAGATTTTCAGTCCTCTACTATATTTGTATTAACTTTTGAATAGACACTGTATTTACTGTATTCAGCAATGTTATGTTTCATCAGTTCACAGGTTGTACTTTATATTATAAAGCTTTTACTACCTTATTTAGTTTATATACCATAACCATCATACTACTTTTGTGGTAATTTATCTTTTAGATTTTCATTCAACAACTCTGTCTGAATGAACTTTTGGTCACCTATATACAATCATAGTGTTGTACGATTGCATATAAATGAAAAACAAAATTATTGATATAAAATAAATCTTGTATAATAAAAAAAATTTTGTTTACAAAAATAATGGAAAATGTATTTATTATTCTCTTCAAAATAACAAATTTAAAATAATCAATATAAATTTAATGAACTTTTCTAAATAATTTAAAGTTCCTAAAAATTAGGAAAGAAAATAAAACAAAAACTATGGTTCTTAAAAACTCTACTTTGCAAAGATTTGTAATACTTATGATAAGCCAAAAATGATAAATGTTATACATGGGATATAACAAGTATACATTTAAGGGTACATATCAGACCTTGTTAAGAAGCATACATTTGATCAGGCCTTGTTAAGAAGCATACATTTGTTAAGTATACATTTGAGGGTACATGTCAGGCCTTGTTAAGAAGCGTTATGCTATTTGAATTTAATGTACGTATTCATACTTTTATGTACACATTTCCCTATTTACGTTACGCAAAAACTTTATCAATAAGTTTATTTAAACACTCTTTTAGAACAGTTTATGCAGAAAACATTGTAACTAATTGTTGTAAAAAAATTTATGGATTATATTTTTTAAAAAAAAATAATATAAAGAATTTTTTTTAGATAAAAAAACAGAGATTAACTTTTATATATTTTCCGTTTTTTTTTTTTTTTCTTAAATATTTTTAATTTATTTTATTAAACTTATATTAAATTTATTGTTAAACATCGTTTTAATAATTTATTATAATAAATTTAATTAAAATTCTATTAAAAATTTTAAAACGCTCCGTTTTTACTAATAAAATTTCCAAACTATGTTAAAGTAAAAAACAACTTAATTCAAATTACTTTAAAATGTTCGTATTACATATAACTTTATTTTAATTTCAGTTTTTTTTTAACAAAAGTATTTTCTTTACAGAGTTGCCGATATAATTTAAAAATTTTTTCCCTAAGTTTTCCCTGAGTGAAGAATGTTTTCCCTTGAATAAAGAACATTTCCCCCTGAGTTGAACTTTATAAGTTTCCTGAGTTTTCCCTGACTTTTCTTTATTTCTTTCTGATTTTTTAACAGGATTATTATTTTCCTTACTTAAACACAACCTTTATATTTGACAAACTAAAACTTTTACAACAACACCTACATCTTGCTAACTTATTTTTATATGTATTAGCAAAATAATTTTGAAAAAGAAATTTATTGTACAAAATTTCTAAAAAAAAAAATTTTTTTCCTTGAGTTTTCCAGGTTTTCCCTGGAATTCATGCTATTTTCAGGTATTGCAGGTTTTCCAGGTTGAGTGGCAACCCTGCTTTACCATTAATTTTTTGAATTGATTATAGACTGAACATTGATTAAAAATGATTAACTAATTTATGAGTAGTATACAAAGATTTTGTTAAAGCCAAAATGTTAAAAAAAAGGTTGATAAGTTTTTATTTATTTTTTGACCATTATGTGATCCCTAAGTGCCAAGATAAGTTGTATTCATGTCATAAAACCAATATTAAAGAAAATAACCGACTATACAAAGTCGAAAATCTTAATAAGTTAAAAAAAATTTATTAACAAAAAAAAGAAAACTATTGTCAAAGAAATAATGTAGCTAAATATTTACTGTTTTATTCTTATTTTTAGAGTGTTTGTTACTTTCCACTACCATAATTGATACAAGTCGAAGAAAAAAGTAGATAAGAATATATTGAAAACAAAAATATTTCTTGATATACAATTTTTTCGCAACTTCTTTCAGTCAGTATATTTAGGAAATACTTTATAAATTGTACTAGAAACAAGGACAATTAAGTTTTTAAATACATTTTTTTTAACAGAGCAATCGTTATGTTCATTATCTCTAGTAACTCGTATTAACATTGGAAATTGGACAATATAATAGAAACAACTTCAAACATACATTAAATATTGTAAATACATTTATTATGTTATTTTTTATTTAACTTGTTCCATCATTAACAAAATTTATTAATCAAATAACATTTTTTACAAGTAAGTAACAATCTATTTCCTTATTTTCTTATTATATAAGTATTGAGAAAAAACATCAAAGATAGCAAAAACTTTTTTAAAAGCGAAACGATATTAAAATGAAAAAACAAAATAAACAAATAAACATAAGCAAAAATTACAAAATTTCTTAAAATTCTAGCGTACATAGCAAAATAGTTTCTTAATTATATGGACTGAAAAAAATCATGAATAAATTGCATATCAAAACTTTCAATTGTTGTTAAATGGTTATAAAAGATCATCTTTTTTTAAACAACGACTCTAAAAAAAGAATACAATATAATTGTATAAAAATTTAAGAAAAATTTTTTTTTTTAATATCATTTTTTTTAATTAATAAATTTTCTAGTTTATTTAATTAAACTTGATATTTTGTTACAATTTTGTTTCCTTTTTTAAAAATTGTTTTCTTTTCGAAGTAAATAAGTTTAGCTTTTTGCTGCGAATTATTTAAATACTTTTTAAAAGTTAAAAGATGCGAACTGCCGGTCGTCAGTATGTCTAAAAAAATTACTTTAAGCGTGGACGTACAAGGTGTGCGATCGCAAACTTTTTCCTGGGAAGGCTTGACTTTTGTATTTTTTTTTTTTTAAAGTCGTTGTTGAAAAAAAACATCTTTTATAATGATATAACAACTATCGAAAGTTTTGATATGCAATTTATTCACAATTTTTATCAGTCCATATAATTAAGAAACTAATTTGCTATGTACGCTGGAACTGTAAGAAATTTTGTTAATTTTTTTTTTTACGTTTATTTGTTAATTACGTTTATTCGTTTTAAAATTATTTCGCTTTTAAAAAAGTTTTTTATTATATTTGACATTTTTTCTCAATACTAATGTAATGGGAAAGTAAGAACATAAATTGTTATTCATTTATAAAAAAATATTCAATTAATAAATTTTATTAACGACGGATTAAGTTAAATAAAAGAATAATATAGTTTCTTTATTAAATGTATTTACCACATTTGATCCATATCTGAAATTGTTTCTTTTATATTCTCCAATTCCCAATGCTAATACAAATTACAAGAGATAATGAACATAACAATTACTCTGTTTAAGAAAATGTATTTAAAAACTTAAAAAAAAAGTTTTAAATAGGCTCCCAAAAAGTTCGTTAAGAAAGCTTAGTAAATTGACAATTCACTAGCCCATAAAATTTTGCAGCATGGTTTAATTTTTTTACATCAAAAACTTATTTAAAAAAAATAAAAATTTACAAATAATTAGCAATTAGTTTTATCGTTTTCTTGTGCATTGATAAAAACAGTAATGTTTAGCAAATACATTTGAAAAACAAATTAAAAAATTGTCTGTGCTTCTTGCGCAATTTATAAAGTATTTCCTTTATAGAATAACTGAAAAAAATCACGAAAAAATTGTATATCAAAAAATATTTTTATTTTTGTTATATTCTTATCTACTTTTTTCCTCTACATGTATCAATTTTGGTAGTATAAATTAACAATCGATCTAAAAATAAGAAAGCAAAAGCAGTAAATATTTAAATATCATTTTTTTGACAACATTTTTCTTTTTTTATTATTAAATTTTTTTTGTAGCTTATTTTATTTAGATTTTCTTTTTTGTATAGTCTTCTGTTCTTTTCTTTGAGTATTGCTGATTTATTCCCTATTTTCTTATAGCTTTATATTGCTTTATTTTTATATAAAAACGTGGTCAAGTTGTCTAAAAAAATTACTTAAAGGGCGGACTTACAAAGCAAAATACGACCGCATACGCTTTCCGGAAAGGCTTGTATAAAGGAGTTTTATTTTTAAACCATTTTTATTCTAGTTAATAAGTTATTATATCTAATAGTTATTTAAACATTAATATTTATTATATCTAATAGTTATTTAAAAATTAGAGTCTAATTAGAATCTAATAGTTATTTAAAAATTATATCTAATAGTTATTTAAAAATTATATCTAATAGTTATTTAAAAATTATATCTAATAGTTATTTAAAAATTATATCTAATAGTTATTTAAAAATTAGAAAATTTTATTTCTTTAAAACAATTTCTTACGCATTTGCAAAGTCCGCACAAATTAAAGATAACTAATATGCAATGACCTAACCATTGTAAATTTTTCTTAGTTTAGTAGCTAAATTCATTTTCAAATTAAAAAAAACGTATAATAAACTTGAAGAAATTAAAATAAAAGGAGCTATAAATAAAATAAAAGTTTTGAATTTTTTTTTTAAACTTCAAAAAATAATATCATATTAAGTATTTAATAATAAGTTAATAAAAATATCTTATTATTGCAGGCCTTGTTTTAAAGTATTAGGCTGTCTGCAATTTACGTACTAATTACATACACCTAGAGCGATTTCCATGAAGCAACTTGATATTTTTTTAACTTTTAAATTGCTCTATTACGCGGTAAGATAAAAAAGTAATTAACTTTATAAAAAACCACTTTGACCATTATGTAAAAAAGTTCGAATGACAATTATGTAAGATGTAAGCGCTATTTACTCATAAAAAACTCAAATAAAATTAAAAACTATAAAAACTCAATCTCTATTAAGCGAATTATTTTATCGACCAGAAAACAAAACTGTTTATAGAAAACAATTTTTTTTTTTTAAGTTATTAATCGGAACATAAAAAAAAAAAAAAACCCATAAAAGAAATATATATAATGAAAACTTTTATTTATCATCTTGAGAGGAAAAGAATATTTATGCAACTTTTGATTACATTGAAAAAATTTATTTAAATCTATTTAGTAAAAAATAATTTATACTAAATTTTTTTTGTTTTGTGTTTTTTTTGTATTGTTTGATTTTTTCGCTCGAAAAAGGCTAATACTTTAAGCTCGAAGCAAAGATCATTATAATGCAATTTTATTCTGATTAAAAAAAAAAATTAATTTCAATTAAAAATATATATATATATATATACAGGCCTAGGCAGGAGTAAAAACCACACGGGCTATGAAAAGCCTGTCTTAAATAGTTTTGGCGAGCAGGAGGACGACCCGTCTCGATGATCTCACGCCAGCTTTTGCTAGCTTTAACGTTCGTAGTGCCTACTATAAATGCTAATACTGATGACTTTGCAAGACCTTTTAACTCGCGAAACATTTTTTTTTATATTGAATACAAATCTTACACCATATCTTCACAACAAAAATTGTTCCATTCTCCACCTCAGTTTCTTTTCCACAGACTCCATCTTTTTTATAACTTGGAGTTTGCTATCCGTATTAAAATTGTCATTAGAGAAGTTTAAAAAAAGTAACTAAATAAAAAAAAATCAAAATATTCACCTTTTTTTTTACACAAAATTTATGTTTGAGATGGGCTTCACTTTTCCCGTCTAAACTGACTTAGATGGGTGCAGAGACGAGCCATAGTCTGCCATTCCTGCTGAGGCCTATATATATATATATATATATATATATATATATATATATATATATATATATATATATATATATATATATATATATATATATATATATATTAAATTCTATATAACGAACTTTTAAGGAGCCTATTTAAAACTTTTGTTTAAGTTTTTAAATACATTTTTTTTAAACAGAGCAATCATTATGTTCATTATCTCTAGTAACTCGTATTAACATTAAAAATTGGGCAATATAATAGAAACAACTTCATAGATACATCAAATGCTGTAAATATATTTATTAAAGAAACTTTGTTATTCTTTTATTTAATTTATTCTGTGATTACAAAAATTTATTAACCAAATAAAAATTTTTACAAATAATTTATTTATTTATTTTCTTATTATACAAGTATTGAGAAAAAACGTCATGTTGTGTTCATATTAAAGAGAATGATAAAAAAAAATTTTTTTTGATTGAAACAAAAGAATAAATGCATACCAAGAAAAACTTACTTTTCTTTTTAGTTAAAGCTTGCCTACTCTCAGGCCAAAAAGTCTTCAAAACAAAAAATCAATGATGCCATGTACTTTAACTCTTAGGAATAAAACGTACTTGAATAATTATCAAGTCTCCAGATTTTGGCATATATTAGGCTGACTTTTTAGCCTACAACAAAACGGAAAAGGCGAGCTTTAACTAAAATAAAAAAATTGTTTTTTCTTGGTGAGTAAGCAAAAAAATTTAGCCTTGTTTTAATTTAAAAAAATTCAGCCTAAACATTTTTTTTTTAATCATTCTCTTTAATATAAAGACAATATGTCTCAGAGGTTTGGGATCCCTTTAACCCTTTCCTTTTTTTTTTTTACAAAAAATTTTTGCAATTAGAATTTTTTAAGGTAATAAAACTTTAAGTTAATAAAACGGAAATACAAGACAAGTTGGAATGAGTTATAAAATGTTTATTCAATATTTGATCAGAAACATTGAATTATGAACAAAAACTTTAATTGTAGTTTCATCATGTTACTTTATAATTACAGACTAAAATTGAGTTTTAAAAAATATGATGATTATTAAAATTTTAGGAGTATTTTTTTAATGCTTCATTATCTAATTAGAGAGCTTTACTTTGCTTTTTAGTTCTATGTTTTTATATGAATCTTGATCAGCATAAAATTCTATAATTATTATTAAAAATAGGGGGAAGAAAACAATTAAACCTGCTAATCTTTAAAAAATTATTTTTAATTGAGTTTTAGTTTAGAGTTTTAAAAAATTTTTAGAGTTTTAAAAAATATATTTTTAATTGAGTTTTAGTTTTTTAAATTAACTAATTATTATTATTATTATTATTATTATTATTATTATTATTATTATTATTATTATTATTACTATTATTAACTTAATTGTGCTTTACAATTAAGGTTATTTAATAAGAGCATTAAAAACAATAAAACTTGTACTACTTTTAGATATTTGTTAAAATATGAATTTTGATTGGATTTTAATATAAAAACAAAACCATTTGCTTGAACTTTGTAAAAAAAAAGTAACATAGCAAATCTGCATTCATCTGCATAATTTAAAAAATGTTTTTTTTTTAATTTTTGTATTTATAGCTGCATAACTTTAAGGATAGTTTTAGATAAATAAGCTAGTTTACAAGATGCTATGTTAATCAGTCAATTTATGGTGAAAAATTTGCATTAAATTATTAACGTTGCGTTGTTAAATAAATGTAACAAATTTGAAAGTCTTACAAAATTCAAGTTTCTCATGTTCGCTGCCCTTACAGTTGACAAAGCCATGTTGATCCTAGGAGTAATGCCGGTTAAATCGGAAATAAATTTTGTTTGATAATTTTTATCTCCGGCATAAAAATGGTGGTAGCGAAGATAACTATGATGCGACGACTTGATTCGGGGGCAACTTTGTCCCAACCTTAAATGTTTAAATGTACAACTCTTTGACATATTCTCTATATATGCAAAAATATTTTAAAGTTGCTAAGAACCGAAAAATTTCTGCTTAACTAAAAAAAAAATTTGTTATCTTTTTTGTAAGAATGTAAAACATTCAAAAAATGAAAGAATTCTAATGATTGTATAGCCGTATCTTTTGAACGCCAAAATATATTTTAATGAAATCAGCTGTATACTATAATTGCACTTAAGTTATAAAAAAACTTTTCATAAGCTTATTTTCCTAAACCAGAGGCATAGTGGAGGCGTTTTTGTGTATTTCTATTCTATTTGGAAAACATGTTGTGCCTGCCTCAACCAAAATTTTTTAATTTTGTTTGAGAAAATCCTCAAAACAAAAACAAAAACTCTTCGTAAAATATTTAAAAAATAGAAGCTAAGTGAACCTATGCCTCTACAAGCAATCCAAAAACCTGCTTGAAAAATCAAAAAAAAAAACATAAAAATTTAGATTATTATATTCAAACACAAAATTTAATAAAAACTTGAAAAAGACATGGGACATTATGAAGGAAATTATTGGTAAAGGTAAATCTAAATCTAACAAAATGTCTTTATTGAGTAATAATTAACAAAAGTGAATTTAACAATAAGCGAGATATATCCTACGAATTTAACAACTAGTTTGCTAACATTGGTGCTGATCTTGCATCAAAAATTCAATGCCCAAATAATACATTTAAAAGATACTTAACAGGGTTACACTGCTTCTTAAATTTTAATGAAATAAATCAAAACGAACTTAAAATAGCTATGAAATCATTTAAGATCAAGTCCCCCGGGATCGGCGACATCTCTTGCAAAGTAGTGTTAGAGGTTTTTGAGGAGATACTTAATCCAATTTAAATAAATATTTTATTCATCAGTTACAACAGGTATTGTACCTGATAGACTGAAAATCTCAAAAATTTGTACTGATCTATAAACTAGGAGAAACCAATTCTTTAAACAATTATAAACCAATTTCAATCTTTTCGGTATTCTTAAAACTTCTCATACGAATAATCTACAATTAATGAAATAAATACTTAAAAACAAACAAATTATCATTAAAGGTCAATATGGTTTCCAAAAGCGACAAAGTAAATTTAAGTATATCATTAAAAAAAGAAATTCACATTATGGGTTTTTATTGATTTGTCAAAGGAGTTGACACCGTCAAGCATGAGATTTTACTAATGAAAATGAAAAACTATGGTATAAAAATTTAGCTTTAAAATGGTTTAAAAAAAATTTTGTAAACAGACAACAATGTGTTATTATAGATAGAAAAAGCAACTCAACTTTACTAAAACCAAAATGTGGTGTACCCCAAGGTTCCATTCTTGCTCTTCTTTTGTTTCTTATTTTTATAAACGATCTTTCAAATGTCTCTAATATCTTTGAAACTATAATGTTTACAGATGATGCAACTTATTTTACTCATCAAAGACAATCAAAGACCTCTTTGAAAAAGCAAATGTTGAACTAAAAAAAATTAATATATGGTTAAAATCAAATTAATCAATATAGAAAAATCAACTAATAAAAAAAATATCCCTGAATCTATCAACAATTGATATAGAAAGTACAACAATCAAAAAACCTCTGAATAAAAAGTTTTCAGGGGTTCTAACAGAGGAACATATCTTCTGAAAACTCCAGACAAATTACATAAACACAAAAATATCAAAGAACATAGGTTACTTTAGCAAAGCAAGACCATTTTTGTCACAAAAAAGTCTAAAACTTGTTTACTTTTCACTCAAACATAGCTATCTTTTGTATGCCAATATAGCATGTGGCACTACCCATAAATCTAAGTTAGAACCTTAAAAATTAGAACTTTTTAACTTACGTCAAAAACATGCTTCAAGACTAGTGTACAACAAAAACAAATCTAGTCATATTCAACCTTACTGGAACTAAATGTATGCACTAAATATAATTCAAATAAATATTTATCAAAATATACATTTCATGCTTAAATATAAACTGGTTCCAAAACTTTTTACCGCACATCTTTTTTTTTTTCTTTTCTTTTAGGTAAGAAGTCTTTACGGTCTTATCAAATAGAACGGCGGAAGAGCATTTGAGGAGGCTCACGCCTCCTTCTTTAACGATGTTGTTAAACTTGCCCAGAGGTGGCGTTAAACTAAAGATCTCTAGCTTCTGAGGCTAGCGCGATAATCACTGTGCTATGAGTGCTTACTTTTTTTAAAACAATATAAACAAACACAATACAAGAGCAACAGGCAACTTTATGATGCCATTTGAAACTCTTTAAATATTCAATTACATATTGTGTAATTGAATATTTAAATTTCAAATTAAATAACTGTAAGGAGTGTTTTTAATTCCTAATTAAAAATTTATGAATAAAAATAACAAAAAGCACCCCTAATAAAAAAAAAGTAACTTAATTTTTAACAGGAAACTATTTTAAAAAATCATCATATTGATAGTAAGGTATATATGTAACACATGTAACACATACATATGCAACTGATTTTTTATGTGTATTACACGTTTAAAATAAGGTACTCGATGACAAGACTGACTTCAATCTTCTGCGAGCTTCTATAACTTCCTATTACTACAAACAAAAAATTATTTTTATAAATTTTATAAAAATTTTGTTTTTATTATATTTATAGACAAATATTATTTTGAAATATGTCAAATAAATATATAGTAAAACAACCTCCAAAAATTACCAGATTCATTTTTATTTATTGTATTTTTATTATAATTTAGGGATGGTAAAAGTCCCGGACATTTTCAACCCTTCGATTTCGGGATTAAGAAACTTGTCCCCGGGATTGAAAAGAAAAAAACTCAATTGAAGAAAGTGAAGCTTAAGAAAAACTAACGTTTTAAGTATCAAATACTTAAAAATGATAATACAACTTAATGATAAGATTACTAAAATACTTCATTTGTTTATAAATTTTAGTAAATTATATTATAAAACAATACCTTAAAATAATAAAACAGTATAAATAAAAATAATATAAACATGCATTGCTGCCAATCTTTTTTCAAAAACTTTATTTAATTGTTCACTAATTGTTTTGAAATTATCACATTTGTGGCTTGAAAAAATTGTTATCACATTTGTGGCTTGAAAAAGCCTGGTTAAACTGAGCACAACTATCACTACTCAAGTTTGCTGCTGTGATTATATCTGAAAATTATGGTAAACCTGATAAAAACTTTATCAGGTTTACCATAATGTTTTAATTTTAGGTACTTGTATTTGGTACAAAAACTTCTGAGATTTTTTATGAAGTAACCTGGCCATGGAGATATACTAAGCTCTTTACCAGTGTTTTTTTCTTTTTAACTCAGTGACATAAAGTATTATACAACTTCATTAAACCGATGTTAAAAAAACTTGTGTAAATCACACACACGTTTGTAATTAAATTAAGTGGATATAAAAATGCAACTAAAATCACGCACACATTTGGAAATAAAATGAATTAAAAAATTCAAAACAAAATTTAAGTACAGGCCCGTAGCAAACGAGAGGGGGGGGGGGGAAGCAGCCTAACAAACAGCCTCAACACCAAAGCCTATATTTACATTTTATGATGCACAGTTTTAAGTTGCAGCTGTTAATTGGGAAAAAGAATTCACAGGTCTAAATGCAAATGATTACTACTAGCTCCTAGTAAACGAATAAATATAATGTAGCCATCAAACTATACATCCCATCAACAATTACTAACTTCACTTAGAAACATGAACAATTGGTATCACCAGATCTTATTAAGGCGGTCAAAACTAAACGGGACCAACTCTATTAATGCAGGTCGATACGCACAAATTATTCAAAAAATCACATCGCAATCCATGCAAAAACGTTACTAAAATAATAAAATCTACCGGGCATAACTACAAAGAGAAAAACACCAGTGAGTCTGAAAGCAACCCTAAACGCTTACATGCACATGCACGAAGCAAACAGAGGCTCTGGAACACTAGAAATTGTTAGAAACACAGGACATCGTGACGGAAACAATTCATTGCAGCTACGCAGTAGATGTCATATACACAGACTTTATGAAGTAATTCAACAAAGTACCGCATAAACGCTTTTTTCATAAGTTTAGAGCGGTATTCAAGGTGCGCTCTTTGACTGGATCTCAGAATGGTTACGCGACTAAGTCAACAAGTAGCATCAACAGCACCACATTTAAAAGCTGTCACTAGTGGCGTGCCTCAAGGCTCGGTCTTGGACCCATCTTGCTTCGTAATCTTCATCATAATCTGCCAGAAAGTATCCCTTATCATATGAAACTGTATGCTGACGACAGTAGAACTATTGACATATCTGAAAATGAGTCGGACAGCATCACTCTCTTAGCTGACATTGACAGAGCAGTGGAATGTTCACATATTTTGGCCCATGCCTTTAAACATTGAGAAATGCAAACTAATGCATGTTGGCCAACGTTTACAGTACGCGTTGTCATTTTTTTTGAGAGGGTATGACCAAAAACTAGAACCCCAGGTTGTACGAAACTTTAAAGAACGACGTAACTTTTTTACAAATAGAGTTGTTGTCCGACGAAATGCGCTTTTGCTAGCAGCAGTGAACGCTCTATCAATCAATGCTTTCAAAGACAACATACTTATTATGCATGCCTACAGCATACATAATAAGTAACTTTTAGAGACATGCTACTTTTTCTGTAGCGTCTGTGTTTTTATTTTCGTTAGCATAGAGGGACCTGGCGTCGCACCTCCTCATCAAACTGTAAATAGATTTATTATATTTGTTTTTATTTTGATCACTGAATAAAAAAAATAAATTACTTAATTACAAATTAAGTTTAAACTTTTTGTACTTTTACTTTTTTTATGACAATCTCGCAATCCCGGGAATTTCAGGCTAATCCCATGATTTTGGGATAAACAATTTGTATAGAATCCCGGTATTTTTGGATCAGGGATGCCATCCTTATTTTAATTTGGAAGAACATAGTGATATATTTGTCGGATTATTTTTTACGTTCACA